TGCTAGCACCAGATAAATCCTCTTAAAAACATCTATGTACACTTATCTTTCTTTACATTGCTAGCTGTCTATAGGTGGGAGCAATCAGGCTTAATTCTAATACTGAAACACAGAGGCCAAACTAACATTTTAGTTTTGTTGCCGCATGCTGAAACATTATTAGAAAAGAATATGTATTTAAGATTAAGTCTGAAACGCACATAAACTCAGAAGCTATACCTTAACCTTAATCACACTCCATAAAATTATTCATCTTGAACTTGAACTGTTAAAATAAAAAATATTTTATTTTAATAATTAAAAGAAAGATAAGTGGCAGCAAAATCTAGAGTCTGGAGAAATACGTAACGCTGAAAAGAGAGGGCAGGGAGTTTGAAAAAGTGTGTAAATACAAAAGAAGCTAAAGCATAATTACTTGATTTACCTAAATATTGACCAGAAAGCTACTCAATATTTTGACAAAAAGCACTGAGGAGCAGCAGCTAGCATCCAGATTGCTGCAAAGCAAACAGAAACGTGGAAATAAATTTGTGGAAGATGATCTTAGCAATTTCAAATACCGAGATCTCCATCTTTTAACATACAGCATTTCAAATAGCAAACTATTAAACCACCAGGCAGTTTACAGTGTTCTAGGGGAGAAGCAATCATAGCACAATATTCCTTCTAAATGATATCCTCCAGGGGATTTTGACTTAAATATATGGTTTGCATGATTTTACAGTAGAAATAAGATAAAAGTTATCAGATCCTCTTAAGCAGAAGAGATGAGGAAAAAAACCACTTGAGATCAGGACACCAGCATGAAATTTCACTTGTGTGTTATACAAATAGCTGGTTTTAACCACCAAAACAGATCTGTTTACACAGAGTGTGCTCATTAGTGCTGAAAGGTTCCTGAAAGGAATGACAGCACCTACTGCCCAAAATACACGCTCTATTTGGACCATCAAGATTGCACATGCTTTGCTGTTTAATGGTATAGCTCTACATTATTTAACCCTAAATACAGCCTAGACAGGATTAGGATATTTATATTGAATCAGGGGATTTAAAGGAGTCAGTTCATTTCTTTCAATTGCATCTAACATTTCAGAAGATACCACTGCCCTTCTTGGGTTTTCATCTTTCCAACCCACTCCACCCTCTCTCATTTACCAAATAATTCAGCATAGATTTAGTTGTCTGTTTCGTTTTGAAAATAAGACCCTATTCCTCTAGGCAATGAGGAGATTTGATAAGGTGAGTATGTTATGGATGAAGGTGAAGTGAACTGAACACATACTTAAGAATCAGGCTAATATGGATGAAGTAGATGTTAGACTTGTAAGATTAAAAACGTGCCAAAACCAGCTTAGGCTCAAAGTGCAGGGACTTTGACTGCTCACGACTACTATTGGATGTGACAGTAGTTGTGCCAAGTGGAAAAGAAAGAGAAATGAATAACTGTGGAGCGAACAGCCTCTATTCTTTCCTCGCAAACATCTCCATCATCAAAAAACAGCCCATCCCTAAGAACAGCACCAGGGCTGCGGAGTTCTCGCCTGGCAGACACGGAGTATCACCTTCCCACCGTTGTGTCTGCTGGCTTGGTCCAGGCAGCCAAGGTAGTGATGATCATCCTATGGCTTCACAAAAGGGTTATCATTTATACATAAGGCTGTCTAGTTTTATGAAACAAAGGCTCTAGTGATACCAGCAATCAAAATGAAACCTCCGTGACAGAAAGTTACTACCACATCACCAGTGCTAAGGACAAAGGACCACACACATAACACAAGGTTCAAATTTTTTTTTTTTAAATAGATTAAGCTTTTGGGTATATTCTGTCCAATAGTCCTTGGAAAATTCCATCTTTTGGTTACTGTCATGTTGCATTCATTTAGGCAGATCTTCCAGAATAAGAGAAAAAAATCCAACAATTAAACATGATTTAATTGTGAATATTATCTAAGGAGTCAGATCTGAAATAAAAGCTTGACATCTGAATTCAGTTGTATTTTCTCCCCAAATACAAGTTTATTTAAATCTACTTGGTTTATGGCAATTTTCAATTTTTATTATCATGTTGAATCCTAAAAACCCATGTAAGCAAAGATGAGGAGACATGATCTGATTTTCCTGCGTGTCTCAGACCTCATCAGGAAGTAGGACCAGATCCCATCAGCTTTGTGTGGCAAAGATTAATCTGGTCACTAGAAAGGGGTACGAATGAGAAATCACTTTCTCAGGCTCGTACGAAGGGAGGGGAGATTTGATTTGCTGCTTATGCAAAATACATTTCTTTTGCTATTCTTACTTTCCTTTGTACAGTTTCCACTGGTATATGTTTCTGTGAATGGGTATATTCTTGTGCTTCTGCAATTACTCACAGACTTTTCCTTGGGATAGCTGTGGATAGAAAAGTTTATTTCCTTGCTAGAATCTAAAGTATTGCTGTCAGTCTACACCCTTCTTTGCACAGATACCTTTAACGAACGCATTGCTAGTTTTGCTCCTGGATAAATGCTGGTTTTTTCTATCTCTTTTTACCACTTACTGAAATCTACTTACCCGAGCAGGTCTTTATTTTGAGAATTGCTATGGATCTGTACTTTAAAAAAATGCAGTGGTAAATTGCCTTAGCTAATGGAGAATTAGTCTGTAAACTAAACAGCATCAACTTGTGCTTCATTAGAAAGCCTTTTATATCCAGCTGATACAGTAATGACTGAAAGATACTAGCAATAGCTTTGTAATTGCAGCTCTGCAACAAGACAGACATGACTTCTAGTTTTTTATTTTACCTTTATTGCCTTTTCTCGATAAAAGAGCAAAAGGAGTTGGTGGATTCAGTTATACTTACAGAGAAATGCCATTCTGTCAAAAACCACAACTGATGACAAACTTGGCATAGAGGCTGGTGTACTGCTTTGGGAAAAAGGACTTCACTGCTCTTTGACCTCTGAAAGTAGTTCATCTACCAGGTCAAGGGTAAAAACCCAGAGGTGGTGCATGAAGAGAATTCCAATCCATAACGTTCTGTGCATTAATGAAAGCTGCAATTTCCACTACTTCCAGATTTTTCAGGAGACAGCTGTATTACCTAAAGTTGCAAACTTTATAAAGTCAAGTCTTTGAGAACATAAAAACCCCTTTTAGTAAGGGAGGATAAAACTTTTCAATTTAGTTGCAGTTTGCTATGTTGATACTGCAGACAGTGTCTTGCCGAAAAACATCATCAGTGGATTCAGATGGAAAAAGCAGGTGAGGCAGCAAGTGGGAAAACTGCATCACCAGTGGGGACAGGGAGGCTCCTGCAAAGCACAGGGGGTTATTTGCAGTGGGAAGCAGACACACAGCCGCGTCTCAGGGGTGACAGGCAGAAGGAAATTTCCCTGAGAACACATAGGGGTGTGTGATGGGTTTGTTAAACCAAAGGTATCTTTGAAAATTGTTAGCCAAAAAAAGTAAAACTGGAATAAAACTAAGACTTAGCAGACTCATCACAGTTTTATGTCAAACCTTTCTATTTAACATGTATCACACGGGGGTTAAGAGTTTTCTCTATTTAAAGAGCTACATTGTTTTAACATTGTTTTTTATGTTCTAATAAAAAGTAACTTCAAAACCTGGGACATTCTGTTCTTTCAGAAATTTAAAATGAAGCTCATAATTTCAGTCTGTAACCACCTCGCAGTGTGTCATGTTACCGGAATAAGCCAGCTAACTAGGCAAAGCATATGTAATAGCACCCTGTAAACCCCTTTACAACAGCTCCAATTCACATCAAATGAAAAGCAAAAAATCCTGACATTAACAATATTACAAACAAACAACTGCAAAGTCGCAGGAGCCCTCAAAGCACAGCTGAGACATCCTGAAAGTTTCCATGCTGTATCAGAGTGGAATTACGAACCACATTTGTGGTAAGCATGGCAGCTGAGAACACGTGCACAACTGTTCAAGCGATACAGAAGGTGAGCAACAGCCAAATTATGCTCAGTCCCAAGACTAGAAGCCAACACTTACAGTGTGTAAGTATCATTCCCAACATATCCTGAAGTGTTTGGACTGTACCGCACACCCACAAACATCGGCGTGCTGTTTGCCTGATGAATCACACCAAAATCTCTGTTCCTTATTACAGCTGTAAATATCTGCAGTGACTCCTCACATGCACCACTACAACATGGAAACTCTTTTATCATTTTAGTGGTTCTGCGTTAGATCTCAAAATCCATCTGTGGTAACAAGTAGAGGTAATTTAATACACTGAAGGTAATTCAGGTTCATACTGAAAAAGTTACCGCATCTGGAATAGGTAATCAACTGCAGACTATATTAGCTAGAACTATAAACAGTATCACTTTAACATCACTTTTTGATCTAAATGGCCTGAAAACTCTCTGACACTGAATGTTTTACCATCTAGTTTCAAGAAGGTTTGTCTGTGGTACAGAAGATTCTCAAGTTTGTCTTATTTTATATTCTTTTTGTAGCTAAAGGACATGAACAGGAAAGAAGACCCTTCAATTACTGTCAGTGTTTTTCTTCAACTTTACTTTCTACATTTCTCGTGCAATTTTAAATATATTGTTGTTAAAGGCACCATTAGAGAGACATCCTCTGTCTCTAACAAAGAGATGGTATTATTGCAAACAACATGCACGCAAAAATAAGGGAAGGCCAGAGACTGTCCTGCATCCCTGAGGCAGTTGGCATGATCTGACCACATGCACACCACAGCGCACTTGGCCCTGGCTCTCCCTAGCTGGTGCTACCATGGCAAGGAGATGTATCACTGTCAGTTCCCCCCCTCCCAGGTTCAAATTATCTGAAATAACATGAGGGTTACGTTATAGGTCATGAAAATGGTGTTTTCATGTGATGAAACCGAGGATGTGCATGGCATGCTCCGAGCTGTGACGGATGTGTCGGAGGGCAGGTGGCCAGGGTACAACAGTTTCATTGAGCTGTGTAGGTTAGGAGCGGTAAACCTGGGGCTGTCTTGACCATAGCGCTTAGCAGAAACAGTCACCTGTGTGTGCCTTCTCTCAAACCACGGCCTGGGGGCCCATATTCACTTGAATTGTCCTTAAACACTTCAACGAAGGCTTTTGTCACCAACAGAGCCAGGATACCATGCTAGATGGACTCTTGACCTAAACCAGTATGGCTCTGTCGTTGCTATGTTCTGATGCGTTGTTTCTTAAAATTAGCAAACAAAAGGGGAAATTTTGCTATGAATTTCAGATTTTTTGATTAAGCACAGGCATTGTGCATTTCTGTTACTTGCATTCTTATAAACCTTTTCAAACCGCGCTCTGGGATACAGGAAATGGCCTTTTGCTTTTTCACTTGTCCTGAGTAAAGGCTAATTTTACAGAAACTGGGTAAAATCATACATTCCATCTCTGCAGGGGTGGTGGTACCAAAAACTAGAATATAGGGGTACTAACTACTGTTCAACATATTTCTCCAAGCTATTTGTCACTTTGCACATGTCAGTTTAGCAGTTGGTAGCACAGGGATCAGACAGAAAACAACGTATTTCAGTGACAAATGGTGGCCAGCCAAGCTCTCTGGAAGGATGGTATAGCTGTGAAAAACACACGCAGATCTCAAGAGAGTAATTAAAAGCTTGTCTTTGCTGAGGCACTTTGGCAGGTTCCTACTGGGTCACACAAATATGGGAGATTACTTTCATTTACAATTTACTATTCGTTTACACGCTTTAAGCGCTACTTATCACTGCATTCACCCATATTTTTGTATGTGATTTCAGACATGCTTACTTTGAGAAGATATAATCCCCATATGCAACACTTTGATAATCCTTCTAATATGGAAAATCTTTTCCAGACACTTAAATTTAGCAGACAAGCAGACACCTACTCCAAAAAGAGAGATGTGCCTTGCCTACATTACTGGTAATTAATACAGTTGTAACATCCCTTCAGTCAATGCACAATAAGCTAAAATTTCATGGTTTTTAAACTTGTAGTCATAGCATAGAACAAACATGCAACCAATTTGTGTTTAAATGTCCCAGACAGATAGTTTTTGCCTGGCAAGCTGAAGCTGTGTTTAGCTGAAGGGGTGATTCGCACCTCAATGGGGGAACATGTTGACATGAGAAAAATCAAAGCGGATTGCAGCATCTTCACTCCAAAATGCACTGGGAAACGTTCAATCACCTCCCTGTACCCTCATCCTCTTCATAGGAGCATCCTGGTATGCTACTTTTGTGAAAAATGATAGGAATTTATCACAATGTATGCAATGTATTTGGGCCTCAGATGACAAAAAGCAAACTGAACTTTCCAGCACTTCCTCAATTTGTATGAATGTGCAGAATTTACTGCTTGCTTGATTTGCCATCTACATTGGAAGCTAAGCAGACAATTGTTGTAAATTAGCACCTGAAAAATCTATGCTTTTCTAAACATTTTTCATAGAAAAGTCCTTCGCATGTTTATAGTAAAAATTTACACATCAATTGACACACATTTCATAGATGATGCTGTGAGAAATAGAAACTGTTGCCAAGATTAAAATGCATGAAAATCAAATGTAAAAGCAAAGTCCTATTACTTTTCGTAAAGGGAGCAAAGCAGTTATTTAAAAGCACACTTTAATATGCAGCTATAAAATTTAATATTTTGCCTGCACAATTTATATATATACATAAGCTAAAAATACACATTCTTCAGGACTATTTATGCAACTTTAATAGAGTGGAATTTTTATTTGTAAATACAACTCTAAAAAGATGCAATTTTAAAATCCTATTATTGCATTTTCCCCAAATGCTCTAGGCATTAATGCTGTTCGCCATTTAATTATTTTTTAAATTAAAATAATATTCAGTAGTCTCTCTGCTTGAATTTTCAAGCACAGTATCAAAACTATCCTTAAGTCACAGGTTAGGTTTTCCATTATAGAATCAGCTGTGTTGTATAAGTTTTCTATAAAGTGGCCAAACTCCATGTAAAAGGGTTGTTTGTTTGTTTGCCTTTTTGATTGATACCAGCACTGATCTTATTGAGAGGATGAACTTCATGGCTCTTACGGTTAGAAACTGTTTCATAATTTCTAGTTCTTACCCACTTGCTTACATCACTTGTTTCTACCCCTTAGTTACACTTTCAGGAAAAAAAACCATATTCTTTACTGTCCTTTATTTTTCTCAGTTAATGAGGTTCTTCTTGTAAATATTCTCTATTTCCATCAACTGCCAAGTAGTCCTTCTTAGCACCTGCTCATTGGCCCAGCAAATTGATGATCAGAATTATACACACTTTTATTATTAAGGTCACTGTACAGTATTTTGCCAGAGTATTAGTATTTTCCTCTCTCCATTGGCAATTATTTACTTACTTTACCCTCGGAATACCTTTCCCTTTTTCACAGCACAAGCCACTGATGTTTCCTAGATACACTGTGATCAACTGACATTCATAGATCTTTATCATTTTCAGTCATTTCCAGAAGACGTGCTCTCCCTAAGCCTAACAGTAAAATTCCAATAGTGTGTGATGTGGCCAAAATAATCTGATTTCTCTATGTGCTAAGAAGCCAGTACTTCTGTTGATTTGCATAGGATTATCAATTTCAAAGATCAGGCCAGAAGAAATTCAAGCTCATTGTATGTAAAGTATTTCTGATAAGAAGTGTAAGTTTACAAGGATATCAGGTTTGCCAGATAAGATTGAACATGTGCACTGAATCTAGATGATCTGAGCATACAAATAATGTAAATGCAAGTCAAAATCAGACTTGATTCAGGTTGTCTGTTGGGAAGGGGATGTAGCTGCCCTTTAAGATTTTTAAGACTCCACAACAAGTCCCTCAGCTCTGTTTGTAACTCCATGACCTTCTACCAGAGAAAAGACATACTGCATTACTCTTGGGTAAATTTTTCTCCATTTCTTACCATCCCTCCTAGCTTTTTAGCCAACTGCTATGAGTGAGGGTGCCAATTCACCATCTCCATTACGTTATAGGTTGCTCCACAATCAAGTCAAATTTAACATCAGTCCAGTTCTTAAAAGTATCTGCATGTCATCAAAAAATCTTCCTCATATTCACGTTGAGGAAAGCTGTTGACAAGTTTACCTACCAGCTATGGTAAGACAATGCCACAGTGATAAAATCTCGCCCCACTCTAGGAAGTAATTAAAGGCAAAATACACTTCTCCAACCTGCCATCCCTAATATCACCTCAGAGAGCAGTGCACTTTAACTCCACAAAACCCAACCAAAGGAAAAGAACTCAGTATCTCAAAGAATATCAGTTCACCACATCGGAATATAATGCAAAGACAGAGAGAAATTAAATAGAAGTAACTGACCAATTAATTAAACCTCATTGCTTAATTTGCTACTAGAAGGCATTCAGCCTAAAATTAAGAACCTATACTAGAATATGAGTACATTTACTTAAAAAGAAGATCCCTGAGACAGAAGCTATTCTTTGAAATATTTGAATTCATAAAATATGAATTAAATACCTAATAGAAATGTATCTACCAGGACACTGTACATATTCTTAGTCTCATTCATGTCAATAAAAACATAGCAGCATTTCACCAGGTAGGTCTGCCTTCAGTAAAACACTTTAAACTCCATTTACACTAGGGGAAATCTTAAAATCTTCAGTTATATTGAAGTAACGGCAGCTGTCAGTCTCTTTCAACACCAAACATGCCCACCTTGATATTCTCAGGAAATTTTCATTTTGGTAAGCCATTTATAAGAGACTAGTGTAGGCTAAGGCAGAGAGCATTATTGATTAAAAACAGATATACTTTTAGGAAAAGAGAAGCAGTAGGTGTGTTTATTTCACCTAAACATAATCTGTAACATAAGAATAAAATAATGCAATTTAAAAAAGCTCTGAGAACAGTTGATATTTCAGCAATTCTGAAACAAAGAAACAGAAAATTAAATGCAATGAATAGATGAATCACAAGGATATAACATAAAACAGAGTCATGTGAATATTTTTCTTGATGAGCAGTCAACACTGCAATGGAATTTCTTTTATTAGATGCCACTTCTCAGTACCATGGCTCCACATGTACGTTACAATGAAGAAGCCACAACCATCATTCCCAACACAGAGACACATTTGCCTCTTTCACTTCATCTCTCTTTAGCCAGAAAGAAATTAATAAAAATTACAAGACAAATTATATGTATCTAAGCTTAAATAACAAAAGCTTGGCTACCGTTTACATCAGCTTATTGGATATGCTGGGCTATTCATGATGCTGGAGGTCCTACACCCCACTTCCAAAGAAAAAGAATGCAGGACAAGTCCTTCAGCTGCTGTCTCTACTCCACACCATACTAACGGGGAAGGAGACGGTACATAGCAGAGAGAAGCATAATGTATCCAGGCGACTGCTATAGATCTGTCCTAGAAGACACAGCTCTGGGACTTCAATTAGCTTTTACTAAATTGTTTGATCAAAAGACCCTATAAAGGATTATTTTGCAGGGAAAGCGTTATTTTGGCAATGTTTGTAGCATGGTGGTGTTATAAACAAAAATATTAGATCTAAAGAACTGCTGCCATATTTCAAGTCATAAAAAATAAGGTCATGCATTTACCTGCCCCCATTATGAGCCCTGGTGCAGTGTCCTTCGTATGGACTGTTCCTGACACATAGGGATTGTCTGCCCAGCGGAGATGGAGGTGAAGGTAGCAATCAGGCTTGTGGGGGAAGAAGAAAACAGGTTTTTAAAATAACTGGTAGCAGTTATGGTCCTATAATAATGAAAGCCCAGTCAGAGAGCAGCTTTGGCAACATATGTCTCCACAGAGAAAGAATGGCTGTCTCCCATGGTGCCAAATCCTGGTTTGAAATATCAACCTTAGCTTTCTAACAAGAATCTGTGGTGATGTCTCCATAGTGTGCCATTGTCTTCACAAAAAAAATTCCCAACTCAAAGAAGTCAAGATGAAATTATTGTATAAAGCCCTCAAGACCAAACAATTTCTTAAAAATGCCAACAGCCACTGCAACAAGTATTGCATGCCTGTTGGTCCCAGGTAATTGGTAAAATGATGATTAAACACAACTGTTTGTACTGAAATTTCATTTTTTTTAGAAAAAAAAATTGTATAAAAAATAGCATAATGACTTTTGGACATATCTGATCATCTTTCCTTTCTAAGCAATTTAACTGCTTCTTGCTCTTTGTGCAGCAGCACTCAAAGGTCATATTGCTCCCAGAAATCTGACCAGGAGCTTTACCGGGAGTGGCTGGGAGCACCATCTGGGAGCTGCTACCACTACAAGCTTTCCTCTCATCTCAGAGAGCTCTGGATCAGGCCCTGCAGGCTTGAACCATGTAGCACTGTCTTGAACTCTTCGAAAGGGAGTCAGCAGCTCCAGCCCTCCACTTCTACTACGTGTAGAGGGATGAAAGCTCTGGCAGCAGCAGGACTCAAAGCAATTATTTCACCCAGCAATGCAGAGCTTGGAGTCCCCAGGAGCAGAAAGTCAGTGAGAGAAATACAAGGCTTTCAGTACAGACTCACAAATAACAAAATATTATGGGTAGCTGGGACGTCTAAACAAACTGAAATAACATCATCTTATAAAAAAAAAAGGCCTTTTTCATGCAGTTAACTGTGGTGTTTATTTCCAAGTAACTGTCAAGAGTTCCCTTTAACAGGGAACCAAGGGTTATCTTGGCTTAAGGTGAAACAAAAATATGAAAGATGGAAAGAGAAAAGGTATTGGTAAGCTCTATTTGACTGATGATGTGCCCCTTATACCCAGACACAAATGATTGTTGTCATGATTATTCTGAACGGGGTTGTGTGGCTGACACACAAGAAAAAATGTCCTCTTTGTGTCAAAGTAGGCTCTACAATAAGAAATGCAGTGCAACAGAGAGTCATGACTACTCACTCTGCAGGATGGCTGGGCTAACATCTTCTGAAACTACAGCTCATGCAATGCAAATACATTTCGCTACTAGTTTGGCTGGTGAACTCGGCACAAAGCTCTTGGGCTGTCGGAACTACTGCACATCCTATCACATAAATAAGTCTTGTGCACTTTAGAGAAAGGATAGGTTAAGCATAGGTTAAAAAGAACCACTTACAGGTTTGCAGTTTGTCGGTTTGCCGTTCATATCAATGTCTGGAGGGTTCAGAAAATCCCAGTCGCGCCCTTTGTTGTAGGTTATCAGAGTTGTAACTCTCCCATCAATTTTCTGGTTGGCCAAAAAGACTCCTTTTACACCTCTGACCTGAAGCATACAGGAGAGAGGGTTAACGACCAGCACATACACATTTTTTTCAACAAGGATTATCCCTGATTAGCTGCTCTTTTGTGGCTCCGAACTGTCTACCTCAGGTAGTTTCTCCGCTAGGAAAGTGAAGGGTATCTTAAAAAAAAATAAGAAAGGCAAAAAGATAAGACCTGATTTGTATTTCTGAATGTATTTAAAAGGATATATAGTTCTCTCAATGTCAGAAGGTTAATCAAATTACATATGGTTTATATAGCAAAATACAAAAAAATACTGTAGCATGGCCTTGCTGTACACTCCTGTTAAAATAACAGCTCTACATTTTGTGTAAATATGGACATCTCTAAAATGTTATTCTACAGATGATGTAAGCAATTTATAACGGCAACTTGATTTTTAAACTGAGGTCATGTGACCCACATCATATAAACAGTACACAAATAGGTCACAATAACAAAACACAATACAGTATCCTTTAAAATAACAGTGAATTAGGAAGCACAACTGTCTTTTGCAGAAATAAAGGCAGACAGATCATCCGGGGAAGAAACAGTGAGGGCTGAATCAATCTCTCAAGCATCTGAAATGCTTTCACACAAAGGCTACCTCTACACATTTAGCCTCACTTCACCTGTTTAATTTCTGGGGAAAAAGAAAAAGAAGTTTACAGGCTTTCTCTTCTCTTGGGCAAACTTAGTTATTTTATTTCAAAACAACCTGTACTAGAAAACGATTACAACTCAAAGTATCAAAGTTAATGGGGATCATTTCTAGAAGCAACCTGACAGTAATCACTCCTTACCATGTTTACTTCTAGCCATAACATTTAAGTTATATGTAAATATTCCACCTAATGGCATGAGATAAGATCTTGTATTAAAATTGAAGGTTTCCTTAGAAGTGCCCATTTCCCTTGCGATTATTTATGAAGTGCCCATTTCTATGCGATTATTATTAAATTTTTGAAAAATTCTTGACAATGCATATCAACTCATATACCATTGCCACCATAGTACAGCTCTCTAATCTGCTCATATGCTGACATTTAACAAAACTGAAGCATTCCTTACAACTAAATGCACATGATAGCCAGCTCTTTGCATGATCAGGAATATTTGCCTCTTGCTGACATGATTCATTCTTGACTTAACTATTTATTTTGTATCTGAAATACTTACTCTTCCCTTTTTCTCCACCTACCAGTTATGAACTCCCTTTGACATTCATTTAACAAGTCTGCATTTAGGGTGAAGAGAAGGCATCCCTTCCAGCACCTATTGTTTATAAACATACATTTTTTTCTAAAGAACTAACCCAAATCCACCGATGGTTATGGTAACAGCCTAGAACTTGGAATATTTACATTGAGATAACCAAATTCTGTACAGATATTTTAATACCTAGGTTAAAATTTTTCTCCATTTCTACTTCCATCTCTAACCTAACCAATTGCTAGGGTAACCTCTCCTCTCTAGAATATGTGACATGAGTGTTTGAATCTATCAGATACAGAAAAGTTACAAAAAAATTTCTTCCAGTGTCTGTTAACTTCTCTCACTGCTGCTCTAAAAGATAAAAGCTCAGAAGTATGATGTTTGGCGTGGTGCATTAGCTTAAAAAATAATAACTAATATAAAATTATGGCGTGTAAAAAAATGGCAGCTTTAAAACACCTCACTCCCTCTGCAGCATTTTTTATTTTATTTATCCTGTGAACTATGTAAATACACACCTGACTCTTTCTGTAAATACTGTAAACACTGTATGTCAAATCTACCTTCTGGATTCAACTGTGACGCCAAGGCACTCAAATTCTTATATACTTTCTACTCCTTGACTCAGTTCTGTAATCTAAAACGGGAAATTAGTCTCTTTCTAACTAGAAGGGAAAAGATTCACCTTAATAATAAGGTGCTACGGAGAGGACAACATTTAAACATTGTGGAATGTTCAGGGACTCTGGCGAGCAGTCCTGTAGCTACACAAGACAGACAAACACAAGGAAATTAAAAAGTACCTTTCCTTTGATTTTCTTTGGATTTTTAGATTAATTCTTGGAGCACCTATTTTCCAAAACATTTCAGGGGTTAGTGTTTCCCCAGTACTCTTAGAAAAGCACTTTGTACCTTATAAACCTATTTTCTAAACACGTTTTCTGCTCTGAACATGTATTTGTGACACATTAATTGCTGCATTGTTACATGACTGATTTTACAGCCAAACAATATTCTATACTAGTGTTTATTAGCATATAGTTTATTATTAGTTGCTGAAATACAAAAAACACAGCTATATAATAGAAGATTGTGATTAAAATTTAAATATATATGATTAGTTTAGGAAAAAAGTATGAAGAATGTGTACTGCAACTTGTATAGTTGTTGTCTCTATGAGGAGTCATAACAAGATCCAATTTAGAAATCTTACATTACATTATTATTATTACTATGCCCATTTTGCAAATATGCCTGTGTCAAATTTGTGACTGGTTCACATTGGCAGCACATGACAATTTCAAGGACATGCTGCTTTTGTGCAGTCACAGATTTCAAGGGCATGTTCCTTTTGGACTGTCACTAAATGCTTTACCTTTCTTTTTTTTCCTTCTTTGAACAAGTATTTGGGAATTATTCCCCTTTCACATACACAACATGAAAAGAAATATGGTACAAAAAAAAAGGATAAAGCATGTAAAAGAAAATGAATGCAGACAGGCAGAAACCTATAAGAGATTTTACAGTACATGTTCAAGTAAAAGATGAAGTGAGGTCAGCAGAAGATAATGAAGATGAACAGGGCAAATTTTGAGGAGAATTATGCACTGGTGGAAAGAGAAATTGTCAACCATTGAAAACCGTCTCTGCATTGCACTGAAGATTCCTCTTCCCAAGGTGGAATACTTGCATTAAAATGCCCATAGAGAAAACCTAGACTAGACCAAAAACCCTCCATCCTCAAGGATTGCAATATGTGTTATATTTAGTAACTATTTTGTACTGTGTAAATAATCCATACATCACTTGTAGATATGAGTACTTGATCACATTCTGGTAAAGAAGATGAACACTAATTATTTATCATAAAAGCTATCTGGAAGCTGTAGATTTTCTTATTGCAAGCAAATAAAAGTGTTCTCCTATAATGCAACTGTATTCCAAAAACAGCTCTAAAAAAATTGAATTGTATGGCTCCATCTGTATTGTCTTTCCATCATTCTCTATCATGTTCAACCCTACAAATTAATCCAGCACACACAATAATCTAGGATTTCTCTCTCTCATGCATTATCAAATATGCCTTCAGTAACATTGTGAAATTCTGAAATCATCAGTAAAACTGCATTAACTAAATAACTCTTGTAGACAAAAGGACAGCCAGGAGTGGCATCTCTGTACAACCTCTCTGAAATTACATTCTCTAGGTGGTGTAAGAAGAGCTTGCACCTGACTCCCTTTTATGGGAACATAGCTACACACAATATATAGCTTCACACATTAAGAAGTCTAATTTCTAAAAAGGTAGAGTCTAGAAAATAATCATTGGTAATGTTACACTTTTTTGTTTCACTTTCCATTTGGAAAGAAAAACCTCAACAAAGATGAAAGAAATAAGCAGGAAAAAACAACTATCATTTCCCCCACTAAGAAGAGTCGAATTAGAGCCATTTAACAGCTTTGCAAGTGTATGACTTGTACCTTGAATTACTACAAACCTTTCTAGAGAAGTCTGGTGCACTTATAAAGACTTTTTTTAAACAAAAAAAAAAAAACAACCTAACACCAGAAAGATTAGAGAGTAACAGGGGCCAAACTGTGTCAGACCAAAGGCCCGTTAGTTTAAAACCCTGATTATGGCCAGTCCTACATGCTACAAGAAAGAACAGAACCAGAGCAAATGTACACCTCATTATATTTACATGTCATCAGCAATAGGAACAGAACTGATAACAGTTTGTGCCACTCTTCCAAAACGTTATATTCTTCAGTCTTTTATTTTGCCAAGTGTGCTGATGCTAAAATCCAAGATAGATTTGTTTACAGGAGAGTTTGTCTCATAGCAAATGCTGTTGGCACAAGACTCCTACTGAAAGCAAGTGGATTTGATGTCCAATAGCTAATTTTGTTGGTTCTTCTCTTGTCAGAGCTAACATAACATAGCACAAGGTTTGCAGGATTACTATTTAAGAACCAGTTCTTAGAGCATACAGCACATTAGCAGGGCAAGAAGGAAACATGTAAGCAGTAAAGATGCACTATCAACAAGAAAGAAATCCTAGTCTTTTTACGTTAAAGGTAAATGTGAAAATACATTTATATAAAACTAATTATACACAATCAAAATAAAAAAATTAGAACTCCACCCAGACTACACACATTGGAATAGATAAAGACCTACCTCTAGAATATCTATAAGGACGTTCTCTTCTGGCTGCTTTGTGCTCCGGACATTCTCCAGCAGGATAGAGTAGTAAACACCTTGGGGGTCAGACTGGTACAGGTTGTACGTGTCTGTCTGGTACCACTCCTGAACAGCCACAAACACCTGGTTTTCATCTGTACTGATTATCTGTAAATCCTGTACAAAAACAAGATACAAAATGACTCAATTTTCCCATCATTTCTCTTTTACAAACAATAAGTTGCCAGGGGATCTGAATACGGGGGCATGGGGAATGGATCTGAAAGTTCAGTGATGGCAATATCTCAACATAACATGCTGTATCCCACCAATCCAAGGTGGTCAGTCACTACCTTTTCGCTACAGGTTATCAGAGTGCAAACCAGTTTAGTGAAGACTGAAAACCATGAATGTGCAAAAGCTGTGATCCACTTTGACTTTTATGGGAAATGACTTCTTGAAAAGAAGGAAAGCAAGGAAAAGGTTGGGGGAAAGTGATTTTCCTAGATCTGGATAAGAGTCAATGAAAGACTGAAACAACATACACAAAACTAATCTAAAAAATAATCCTCAGGTACCTAGAGAATGAAGAACTATTTTGTCCAGAGTAAAGCATAACGTAGCACAAAGAGGATCAGATACAATTTACAGAAGTTACACATAGGAAGCAGTACATATCGCGCACACAGCTCATGTATATTGTAGAACATAATGCTAATTTATCTATATAAGTAGACAGATCCACTTAAATATTCAACAGTAATAACATGAGAATCAACATTCTGCATTCATTTCTCAAGAATTTCAGGCGTGGATATTGCAACAGCTTGCTTTCAGTTTTCCCAGCTTCTTCATTCCAAACTTCTCAGACAAAAAATGCACAGCTGGGGAAAACAATTTAACACTAATATTAAACAGAACAAATAAATCAGGAAGTAGCAACACTGAACTAAGCTTAGCAAACAAAAAAAAATGACATGAGCTTGCAATAGGATATGGCAGCATAGAGGCAGATGTTGGAGATACGTATTAAAATGACACCTAGTCACAGAGACTGAAAGCTTGGTAAACTCTTTAGGATCTTGATACTTCATGGAGAAAATGAATACAGTTCTGGTCATCTTATTACCAAAAAAAAAAAACTAAGGTGATGAAGCGAATATGAAATAAAGCTACCAAATATCAAGAGAATACGAGTTTGGGGAAAATTGGCTTTATATATACATCTATATCTATATCTATATCTATATATATATCTATATCAAGAAAACAACTTTGTAGAACTTTTAAGATAGAAATAAAACAAATTTTGTGAGAATCCAGTTAAGATTGAAGAAAATGAGGCCGCACCTGGAATATTGTGTCCAGTTTTGGGCCCCTCGCTTTAAGAGAGATATTGAGCTCCTGGAGCGAGTCCAAAGAAGGGCGACTAAACTGGTCAAGGGGCTGGAAAATAAAACTTATGAGGAGCGGCTGAGGGAGTTGGGGCTGTTTAGCCTGGAGAAGAGGAGGCTGAGGGGAGACCTGATTACAGCCTACAAATACTTGAGAAAAGATGGTGGGGAGGTGGGGGAAGGGCTCTTTACATTAGTGTTGGGTGATAGAACAAGAGGAAATGGGTACAAGCTTAGTCAGGGGAGATTCAGGTTGGATGTTAGGAAGTATTTCTTCTCTGAAAGGGTTGTCAGCCACTGGAATAGGCTGCCCAGGGAGGTGGTTGAGTCCCCATCCCTGGATGTGTTTAAGAATAGGGTGGATGATCTACTTGAGGATATGGTTTAATGGGGATTAGGGATGGTTGGACTCAATGATCTCTAAGGTCTTTTCCAACCTAGAAATCTATGAAAATGTGAGTAACACTGAGCAACACCGAATACTTGGCAAAGCATGGCAATCACACGTTAGGCAACACGCGTGATGCAATTGAGGCACTTCAATTCAAAAAAAGACATTAATAAAATGAATTCACTGGAAAGATTTTTAATATGAACAAAAGATAGTTATTAAATAACTAATCATTTAGCTAAATTTAAAGTATTTTTGCATATCTGACACATCTCAACACAAAAGAACCTAAGTGAAGTTTTCTATCAATGACAGCTCAACCCTGTTTTCAAAGACTTTCTTGTTGAACTGTGTACTAAAGTAGATTTTTGTTTAGCATCCCATTAATAGATCTCTTTTCTCTTGTCCTCAAAAATTACTCAGAAGCTGAGAGTCTGGCAGACCTTTAATTCTTTCCATCTGAGTACGAAACAGTAACTGCTCTGACACAAAAATGCCAGCAAAACACAGCAACTGATTCCAACAGGTTCTTTAAAAAGCCTCTTGCGTGTACAGAAGGCTTCACCTTCTGTGTTAAATACATGGCTGCATAGCCCATATTACACCACATCTAACACTGAATTTGCCTTTTCTTTTGCAGTGTGAGAAAAGCTCCCATGATTACCCATTACGAAAGGATGGAAGTGAAGCAAGGATTACAGACACAGTTCATTTTTTCACATGAAAACCTCTTCAAAATCTTTAATCTCCTGTGATGCCAGGAGCTATCAGCAAAATTTTAATCTACGTTATTATAATAAAATACTTATATAGTACCATAAACAAACACAAAACTCCAGTGGCTGTAGGCAAGGCGCTTTCCTTGCCCCAAGTGCTGGTGAGGTGGCAGTGGCTGTACATGTGGCCTGTGGTGGCAGAGGCAAGAGCTGGAAGGATGGGCACCATTGGGATTCTCCTATCCCAAGGTGGGTTAGGAACTGCTAAGCCAGCAGAAGCAGCTCACAAAGAGCAAAAACGTGTGGTGCTGAAGGATAGGAAAATAATTTTGGGCAGGCTGGAGGGATCTGGTGAAAGAGGGGTTGGACTGGTGAAAGAAAGAGGGGTTGGACTGGAGAAGTTTACTGCAACAAATGAGAGTTTACTTTTCCCTTGGCAGTGTCTGTTACGAAGAAAGAGGTTTGTACGCTCAGACTGCCCGATGTCATTTTTTTCTGAGGCAAGAACTTAACAGATCCTGATTTTAGCAAGTGAAATTGCCCTTCCGCTGCCTTGAACTTCGTTGTTTTCATTCAGAATTCACACTTTCAGACTTCCAGTTCTGCTATTTTCCTTTCACAGTGATTTCTTTTCCCTCAAGAAGCAAATCGCTCCTTCAGTTATACTACCTTGCAACAATCTTGCACAGCACTTTCTGCCTAGTCATGATATAATCCTCCAGAAAAAATAGTTGACAAAATAAGGAAAACTTCAAATTGCATGCCTTATTCTTAAATTTATCTTTTAAAATCCTCGATGACACAGACTGCTGAAAATCTAGCTAAAACAAAGCTAAACTGTCATGTCACTCTTGTATTATTTCTATCCTGGAAAGCTGAATTTAAAAAGAAGAAGAAGAAATTGATTGACAAATACAGAGGTTGGGCCTTCACTATGCCATGTCCAAGCCTTCATCCCAGCTACCCACTGCTCAACAGATGATAAACACATGAAGATGGGATGTCAGCAAATATCGTTAGACAGAACTTACTGTCACTAAAGAGTTAACTAGTAAGGACGTCTGAGAAAGAAGAAATATCTTCATCGAAGAAATGCAAGTTTTTATTGCTTTATCTAATTCATGGCCACAGATACTACCTTAGGCTGTAATCTCAGCAGATCCTATAAGGAAAGCATTTATTCTTTGATGATTTCACGCTTGGACTACCACAATTGCCCTCTTGCTGGCCCTCCTGCTTTCTCTCTCCGCATTCTGCAGGCTACTCGAAGTCCCACTGATCATCTAATTTTTCTGTAATTACGCTATTCACACATGACTTATCCAAATTAATTTATAAATATCTTCTTCACTGATGTTAGAGATCTTCAGGATTTAGAACATTCCTTACTGTTACTAATCAGATTTTTGTTTATCTCCAGGCTGCTTTTTTGTATATACACTCAGTATTTGAGTTCATGTGCTTTCCTGACATTTCCATACTCAAATGAGAGAATCGGTGCACTTTCAGGTGTTTCAAGGCAGAATCTTTTCCCAGGTTTGCCATACCAACCATGTTGTTTCTTCTGTGGCATGCCCATTCCTCTGTGGGCATCCTTTCTCTCTTCTCTACTACTTACTCTCTCTCTGTCCAATCTACCATGTCTGCTCTGTTCCATGCCTTGCTGATCCAAATGCTTGTGCTCTCATTGTTTTCACTTCTCTCTCTCTTTTTTGTTTTTGCAAAGCTAACCAATGGCAACTCGTATCAGCAATAGATTGTGATTCCCAAATATCAGTATTCTCCATTTACTTTACCTCATCTTCATAGGTCATCAGGTTTTGCACAGTTTGGAGATGCTACTAGCTGTACTGTCTAAAACTTTTTTTTTTAAACTCTAAAATCCCATGAGATTTCTCTGTTCTGTTTGCTAAGGTGCTTCTTGTGCACTATATTCTGAGAATTTCTTCGTCACAATGTTTCCTTCAACCTCTCTTGTAACGTTATACAACAGTAAGCACAGATGTCTGTATGACCAGCACTATAAATCTGTGGAACTACTCATAGGTTCAAGACAGCGGACCAACCCCAGGTCAGGGATAGGTCTACCTGTAGGTGCAACAGGAGAAGCCTGCAAAGTGGTCTATAATCCACTATGCAATCAAGTCCACAGGGTCATTTCTCCATGGGTGAATGAGAGCAGACAGAAAACAGTCTTCAAATAACGTAAACAGTCACCTCAAGGAAAACAGAAAAAACTTCTAAGTCTGCTTAGAGTTAAATACAAGGTATAAATTGCAATGAAGGAGAGTTAGGTTAGACAACAGAATATCCTTCTACAATAAGGCCTGGTCATACACACTGAGGATAAATTGCTTAGGGAGGTAAAGTAGTCTTCATCCTTGGGAGTTGTTAAGAGTAGATTAGAGAAGTATCTGTCAGGACTGGTTTAGGCAGATGACCATGCTTTGGAAAAGGACCTCTTAAGGTCCATTCCATGCCTATTGTCTACGATCCTGTGAAAACGGGAAAATAAAAACACAACTTATTGAGATTACTTGAAACATTACACATACAAATAGAAATATCATTAAAAAGATGTGATTTATTATTTTGGTTGGGGTTTCAAATATCATTAAAAAGATGTGATTTATTATTTGTGTTTATTTGTTGCTTTTTTCTTTAATTCAAGAGTTA